TGGACATTAATTTCCAGGACCTCAAAACCTCTGAAGCCGCCACTGTCCTCCCCAGACTGACTCGGGCGGCCCGAGGCTTCCAAGCAAACGGGCGATTCCTCCCAGGCGCCGGCCGGCTGAACCGTTCTACACGCAGTCGGGGTCCCGCGGAGGCGCGCCCCACCCGTCCGCGCCCCCTGGTCTCAACAGGAACGGCGGGCTGCAGGCGGCTTGCCTGGCTCCCCCGGAAGCTGGACAGGGCTTTCCTGGCACTTAGGTGTGCGTCCCAAAACAAGAGGCACCTTTTCTGCATCCCTACAGTGTGGGGCATGAACAACAAGGTCTCCCTGGCCCTGCCGTGACCCTCCCACGGGGGGCTGCCAGAGCTTGGGGCAGCATCTGCAGGGTTCCACAGAATTACTGGCCCCAACCTGGGCTCCCTAAATCTCACACAGACTCCTAGGTCCCCCCGCTTCCCCCACAACACTCTAAACAGCCCACCCGGAACACCTCCGGGTCGCCCTCCTGGTGTCCACCCGGCTTTGGGAAGTCCCCCAAACACACCAACCCCCTTTGTGAACCCTGAACAGCCTGCTTTCTGGCAGCCGAGTCCCCCCAAACTCGGAGGGCGGGCGACGCCTGCTGCCCCAGACTCCCCAGTGCTCTCTCCTGCCGGCCGAGCGGACCTGGGGCCCCCTTTCTGGGGCTCTGCCAGCTTCATGGACACGCAGGGGCCTTCCCACGGGGACCCTGTCCCCCAGGCCCCGAGAGTGGATGCGCTCAGCGGTGGCCGTGGGCTAGGCAGGGTGCCGGAACCTCCCGGGGGTCCCCCAGTCCCCCCCCCCAAGCTGTGCTCTGCACTCACAGCCAACCTGTGCTTGCTTCCCAGGCCCCTGGGCATGTCCCCAATCACCGAACGTTCTAGATATCTTCTCTGCCTCACAACACGTCGAGTGTTTGAACCCCCCTCGGTCCCACTGTTGACCGACAAGAACCCGGATTTTCTAAAATTCAGACGCTGACTGGCAGTCCCCGTCCTCATGGGCCTCTCTCCCTGACCGCCGGTGCTCGGGGCGGCTGGGCCCCCTTAACATGAGGCGCTGCCCCCCGCGCCCCCACACCCAGTGTTACACTTGGGGCGCCAAAAGGTGACGATGACTGGGGCTCCAATGCACCCAAGCTCCCCACTGGGTCACCCCGAATTTAAGCAACATTTCCTGGGTCCCCCACACAGCTCGCTGTGGGCACTGCTTCTCAGGCCAATGACCCAGGAACACTTCATCCTCCCCCCGAAAGTCAGACACGGAGCCGACTCTCCTGAGGACTCTGGGCAGCTTCCCTGGACCCCCAGGTTCCACATTATGTGCCTGGGGCCTCACATCGAGGGCCTGTCCCCAGCCCTGCACAGGAAACTGAGATTTTTTTCCTCCACAAAATGATGGAGCTCTTTCTGAACATTAATTTATGGGCCCCCTGACTTAATGGACCCTTTCCCTGAGTCCCCCTAAATTTAGGTAAATTTTCCACGGCCCCCCAGATGAAAATGTGCAGGCGCTGGAAAATGCCCTCAGGCCAACGAAACCCCAGGCATGGGCCAGCGCCTACCAGCTGCCTCTCCGCCAGCCAGGGACCCTGAAATCCAGCTGTCAGTCTCCACTGGACGGTTTCCAGGGACCCCCAAAACCGGGGCTGTGTTTCACTAGGGTTTCCCAAAGGCAGACCCCGCTCAGGGACACAGGGCGTTTTCTCCTGCTCACTAAAAATAAAGCAATGGTGAACAAATCGGTTTAAAAAAATACAGTGTTAAAGATGTTGACTTTCCGCACTCCCCAAATGCACCGATCACACCCCAGGTTCCCCCCAGTTCGGATCGTGTTTCTGAATTTGGTCTGCAAAGGTCACCGAGGACTGGCGCCGAAGCCGAGATCAGCATGTGAGTTGCTCTCCCCGAGCACTGGGGCTGCCTCCGGGCCGAGGCCGAGGACTTGCGTTTCTGAGCTGCGGAAATGAATCTCCACTTTTCTCCACCTCGCGGAGGGCTTGCCTAGGTCCCCCAAATGTGCCCACTGTTTTCTTCCCTCGATTTTAGACTGTGTGCCTCTCAGGTCGCCCCCCCTCCCCGAGTTTCATGTGAAGAAGTTTTCTTGAGGGATCACCCAAATCCTACCGTCTCACAAATCCATCTGGGGTTCCCCCAGGCATACGGACCCGGACGCCGGGTTCCCCCCCTTTTACACCGAGGTCCTCCTCCCCCAGTTGCAGGGAGCAGTTCCCTCTCGTCCTCAAACTCGGACTTCATTTTTCTGGAGCTTCAGATTCAGTCGTTAACTGCAGTTCCCCGCCATAGGGGGCCTCCCCTGAGTCCCCTACTTGGGGGGCACTCATTCTTTCCGCCCGCAAGTCAGACAGAGCTCGGACCTGCGCACCCCGATATCTGGGCATTGTTCCCGACCCGCCCGCGGCCCTCCACAGCCCCCCGACCCCACCCACGCTGGGCACTGGTTTCAGGCCTCCCGGCCTCTCCAACGAAGTCTCCGGAGCGCTTCGGATTTAGGAAATGTCCACGTTCCCCAAACACCCTTGGCCTGGCAAGTGTGTCCGCCAGGACGTGGGCAGAACTTCTCCCGCGTCCAGGAAAACGACTGGGCATTGCCCCCAGTTTCCCCCAAATTTGGGCATTGTCCCCGGGTCTTCCAACGGGCTGGGCGTTGCCCCCGGACGTTGGGGACTGCCTCCGGGGTCTCGCTCACCTTCAGCAGCGTCCACAGCCCGCCGCAGAGCGCTTGCTTCTGCTTCGGCTCCTAGAGCGCCCGAGGACGCAGCCTCCAGCCTTGCGGTGAGTTCCCCGCCGCCTCCGCGCCCGAGTCGTCCTTCTAGCCTACACCGGCAGCGGTCCGGCCGGGGCTGACGCTCGCCTGAGCCGACCGCCGGGGAGACCCGCACGGGGAGCGGTAGTCCCCTGCGGGCTTGCCGCTGGGCGGCCGCGCTCCATGCCGCCGGGTGTCCCGAAACCGGCGCCGCTTTCGTTTGTTGTTTGCAAAGATCGTTAAGTGTGGGGACAGCGCCCTGGCAGTCCCGAAGCAGGGCAGGCTAGGCGCTGGGTCGCAGGGACGCCGAGGAGAGGCGCGCCCTGCTCGCGCGGCGCAGCGCGGTGCCTCCGGCCGCCGGGCGGAGGACTCGGGGAGGCGCGCGCGGAACGCGGGCGAGGTGATTGATGGCAGAGTTAGGGGCGAGCCTCGTGCTGGCTTCTGCCGGCAGCCCCTTACCCAGGAGGGGCGCGGGCGGCAGGGGCTCTGGGGTGGGGGCGGGGGAGGGACAGGCGGGGCGCGGGGTCCTGTGCGTGGTTGCGACTTGGTAAAAGTCACAACGAGTTCTTACATCGTCCAAACTCTCCAGGAGATGGTTTCCCCAGATCCCCAAATTATCGTGGTGGCCCCCGGGGCTGAACCCGAGTCTACGCAAGTCCGACGCACTGAGGACGGGGGAACCATTATCCGGATATTTTGGGTGGGCCCCAAAGGCGAGTTGCTTAGACGCACCCCGGTGAGCTCGGCCATGCAGGTAGGATTTATTTGAGCGATGTTTCCCGCCCTGCTGCTTTCTCTGCCGGCACTCGGGGCCTCGCAGGCCCCACGCCTGGCCCAGATTCGGGCCTGACCCGGCCGGTTCTCCCCACAGACCGCACCTGGCGGCCGCCGCGGCTATTTCCCGGCTCCCGCGCGGCACCGGGGGGCGCTCGGGCTCCGGCTGCGGCTCGAGACTCAGTGCTTGTTCGGGCAGGTGGCGGCTGCGCGCCGTGCGCGCGCCCAGGGACTACCCTCCCCCTCTGTTCGCCTGCTCCGCCGTTCCCAGCGGGACCCTCGAGCTGCGCCTAGCTACCTGCGCCCTCACTCTGACGGGGCGCCCCCATCGCGTAGCCCCGTGGCGCAAAGCAGGGACCCCCGCCACCACTGGGGCCTCGGACACCGCCCACCTTGCTGGTCCGTGCGCCCAGGGCACAAGGGCAGAGGTCCCGCACCTCAGAATCTGAGGTGGGGCCCCTAAACACTTTAGAATGGTGACTTGGAATTTCTTGCACACTCTGCGATCCCTGCCCCCACTCCAATCTGGTCCCCGCGCACCCTACGCCCCCTCCCCCACCGCCCGTCTCCCGGGCCCCCTGGCCCGCGCCCCCCTCCCCCTGGCTCGAGTTGCGGAGGCGGTCCGAGGGCGGGGCGAGGGCCCGGCGGGCGCCCATTGGTGCGGGCTCTGAGCCAACGGGGCCCAAGCGGGCGCCTCGCGGCGGGGTGGCGCGGCTATAAGAGCCCGGCGTTGGCGCCCGAAGTTCGCCTGCTCTCCGGCGGAGCTGCGTGAGGCCAGGCCGGCCCCCGGCCCCCCCTTCCGGCCGCCCCCGCCTCCTGGCCCACGCCCGCCCGCGCTCGGCCCGCCAGCGCCGCCACCGGGCTGGCGGCCCCGCGTCGACGTCGTCCGCCACGCTGCTGATCCCATCGCGGGCGTCGTCGGCGGGGTCGCGCTCCGCCGGGCCTGCGGACTCCCCGCCGCCTCCTCGTCTATCTACCTCAACGCCCGTCCCGCTGCACCTGAGGAGGCGGTTCCCCCCGCAGGCAGTCCGGCTCGCAGGCCGCCGGCGTTGTCACCACCCCCGCGCCCCCTCCAGCCCTCCCCGGCGCGCAGCCTGGGCGCTCTCACTCCTCGCTTCTCCCGGGGCGACTCCAGCGCTGCCGCCGCTCCCCCCCCGAGGCCCGGGCTCGCGACGGCCGAGGGCTCCGTCGGCCCAAACCGAGCTGGGCGCCCGCGGTCCGGGTGACGCCTCCACTCCGCCCCCCTCCGCACCGCCCCCGACCCCCGACGTGGCACCCTTCCCTCGCTTCTCTGTGCACCCCTCTCCCCCTCTTCGGCCTCTGGTCCCGGCCCCCCGCTCTCTTTTCTCCCGCGACCTTCCCTTGGCTCCCTCCCGTCCCCCCCAGCTCCGCGCCTCCAGCGCCCGCCCCCCTCCAGGCCCGCCCTCCCGCCCTCGTCCCGAAGTGGATTAATTATACGCTTTCTGTTTCTCTCGTTGCTGTTCTCTCCCGCTGTGAGCCTGCCCGCCTCTCGCTGTCCCCTCTCCCTCTCGCCCTCTCTTCGGCCCCCCCCTTTCACGTTCACTCTGTCTCTCTCACTATCTCTGCCCCCCTCTGTCCTGGATACAACAGCTGACCTCATTTCCCGATACCCTTTCCCCCCCTAAAGTACAACATCTGGCCCGCCCCAGCCCGCAGACAGCCCGTCCTCCCCAAACAATCAGACGAGTCTCCCCCCCCCAAAAAAAAAGCCATCCCCCCGTTCTGCCCCGTCGCAATTCGGCCCCCGCGACTCGGCCAGAGCGGCGCTGGCAGAGGAGTGCCCGGCAGGAGGGCCAACGCCCGCTGTTCGGTTCGCAACACGCAGCAGGGAGGTGGGCGGCAGCGGTGCCGGTTCCCAGGTAAGCGCCGCGAGGGCCGGCGGGCGGGGGGTGCGCCCGGGCGGGCGGCTGGGGGCGAGCCTCGCGCCCTCTGCCCTGCGCCGCGTGGGGGGCGGGCTGGAGGCTGCGGGAAACGCCGGGAGAGGTGTGAGCTGTCTGCAAAGGCGACTTCCTGGTCGGTTTTGGGGGGCCGGGGGGGGGGGCGGGTTGCTGAAAGTTTGCGATCTGTGCCGAGCGGGGGCGGGGCCGTTCCCCCAGGGTGCTGGGTAGCGAGGAGGGGCGCAAGTCTCCGAAACCCACCCTGGTATGTTGACTCCGCGCCAGCAAGACCGACGGAGGGGGGGGCGGGGCCAGGACGGAGCGAGGGGGCCGGGCCGGCCGGGGAGCCCTGCCAGACGCCACATTTGCAGGATTCCCCCGACGGCCCTCCCTTTCCCTGTCCCCAACTTTTCCAAGTGGGGACCCGGCGAAAGGGGCTGTTCTGGGGGGTCCCGGGGCAGCGGCACATTGTGCGCGCGTGTGGGGGGGGGGGTAACTGCCCCTGCGCCGTGTGCAGATGGAAGTTTCCATAAAAGGGGGTGGAAAGCAGCCCCCTCCCTGGCCTCCGTGGCCCTGTGCGGACTTGGGCTGGGGGTTCAGGATAAGCCCCCAAACCCCTCCCCCGCGCTCACGCGGTGCTTTGCTAAAGGGACGGCCCCGAGTTAGCGGTGGGGGCGCAGCGCCGAGGAGGGACTGGCTGGAAGCAGGGAGGGGGCGGGAGCAAAGGGGCGGGGGGAGTGGTCAGTGGGGAGAGGGGTGGGGGGTAGGGTGGAGCCGGGGCTGGGAGGAGCCCGCTCACACATAAAAGCAGAGGCACTGACCAGCCCGAGAACTGGACATTGGCTTCTCCTGTGAGGCAGCCGTCCAGCCTCCTCTTCCTCTGCAGCCCTAGGAGCCTCCTGTCCAGCGGCAGGTAACCGGCGCTGTTGAGCGAGAACCCCGCTGCCCTCCGCTCCAGCCCACCGGCCCGCTGGGCCCAGCCTCGGCCCCCTGCCTCCAGCGCAGGCACTCACTCCCCTGCCTGCCCCTGCCCCTGCCCTCCCCGGGGCATGCCTGTCCAGTCCTCCGCTCCCCGCCGGGGCTCCGGGCTGGACCCCACGGCAGAGAGGCCGGGCTTTCGGAAGGATGGAGCTGCCTGGCTGCTGTGTTCTTAGAATTTGGAAGGGGCAGCAGGCAGACCCACTGGGGTCCAGTCCCGGAGAGCGAGGAGGAGAGCGAGGTGGCCCTTTTATTTTTAGAACCTTCTTTGGAGCTGGCCACGGCTCTTGCCGAGCTTAAGCAAGACTGCTTCTCGGCCCCCTCTCGTCTCCCCGATTTATGGCATCGAGAACCCTCCGGGGCCCGCATGCCACAGCCTCGGTCCAGGCTGGGAGGCCCCGCTGCCCCGGTGCCCACTGGGTGTGGGGCCTGGGAGGGGCACGTCTGGGCAGCCTGCCCAGCCCCTTGCTCGGTCAGCATCAGGGTGCCAACGGGCTGCATGGCACTGGGCCCTGGCCGTGCCCCCAGAAGGGCTTTCACCTGGGTCTGCAGAGGGCAGGCTGGGGCTGCCTGCCTGGGGGGCCTCCACCTTCCGGAAGGCGCGGGGGCATCTCACTGAATCTAATACTTAGATCTGAGACCTGCCACTCCTTCCAGATCGGACCCTGAGGGGCTTGGGGTCTAGCCTCCAGGTAGCTTCATTTGCTCTCCCCAGCTCTCCGGGTGGGCTTTGGTACCCGAAGCCTGGCAGAGGGTCTGGTGGTCCCCAAAGGACTTTGAGGCTTTGGCTTTTCTGCCTGTGTTGGGGTGCCCAGGGCAGACTGGAGTTGGGGGACTCGGCGAGTCTGGAGAACAAGGTCCCTGGGCGTGTGGCTGGTGCCGCCGGGCTGACCACCGGACCCTTGACCTGGGCTCTGCTCAGCCACAGGCTGGGAGGGTGGGGCCGGCCCACAGGACCCTCAGCCGCTCGCTGCCCTGGGTGCACGTGCGGTGTGGTGGGGTGGGGCTGTCTGCCATCTTGGCTGGTGCTGGGCGGCCCAGGAGTGGCCGCTGCCTCGTACTGGCCCCGCCCTCGTGACATCACAGGATGGAGGCCAGGTCCAGTGTCCAGCCCTGGTCCCTGCAGTTCTGGGAAAGGCTAAGCCCCTGCAGGAATGCCAGTGGGGACAGTCGCCCCCATGGGAAATTACTGGCCAGCCCTTGGTTCCAATCAAAGGTGTGCTTCCCACAGGCCCCTGTTGGCCTCAGGAGTTAAAACACTTTAGTTCTCAATCCAGAACAATGACATTCAGGAGAAAGCCACGCTTTAAAGCTGCAGCTGAACTTGAACTTGGTCGAGGGCCCTGCCTCTGGGGGAGCCTGGCTGGCGGGGCTCACGCTTCTCTCCCCGCCCTCAGATTCCAATGGAGCTTCCGATGGGGAAATCGATGCTGGTGCTGCTGACCTTCTTGGCTTTGGCCTCGTGCTGCTTTGCTGCTTACCGCCCCAGTGAGACCCTGTGCGGCGGGGAGCTGGTGGACACCCTCCAGTTTGTCTGTGGGGACCGCGGCTTTTACTTCAGTAAGTAGCTCGGTGTGTGGTGGGGCGGGGCGGGCGGGGGGGGGGAATCAGCATACACGGCAGGTGCTCCATAAATGGATGCTGGAGCCCATTCCTCAGACACCAAGACGGCGGGTGGGGGTGGGGGAGGACTGGCTGAGGAGGAGGAGCCGGGGCTTTGGAGAGTGCTGCGAGGGGCACTCACGCCTCCTGACTCCTGACTCCTGCAGCAGCGGCAGGAGGGCGGTGCCATTCACACCAGGGAGGTTGTTACCGGTGGGCGGGGGGTGGGGTGAGCCAGGCTGGCTGGCTGGCCCTCGGCGGCAGGCAGGGCTGTGGCCACGGCCCTGAGGTGCCTAGCGTTTTGACAAGGGGCACATATTTGATGAAATGGGCTGAAAACCAAGGGGAAGAAAAGCACAGGTCGCTGGTGGGTGGGTGTGCACTTCCCACATGCTCAGGGTGCGCAGCTACCCTGGGAGGTGCAGGAGAGGTGACCAGCCCTGTGGACACAGTACCCCTTGGCCTGGGAGACCAGGGATCTGCGCCCCCTGGGGGGGCCCACCTGCTGGCCCCAGTGCTCTGGCTGCTCCCTGCGCCTCTTGATTTCGGACTCAGGGTATCCCCTCACCCTCGGGACCCCAGTTGGAGGTGAACTCTCCCTCTGGGGCGTGGGCCCTTGCCCCCCCACAACTCCCACCCCCCTCAAACCAGCTGGGCCTCAGTGTCTTTGCCTGCACTGATGTGGCCTCCTCTCCCACAGCCTCCACTTACCCAGACTGAGCAATGGGCCCACAGCGGCCAGTCTTGGCACTTCAGAGCTTCTCTTGGAAAAGCATTCTTGAGTCTCTGCCTGCCTGGCCTTACCCACCTGTGCCCCCTCGCTGTGCCTCGCCTCCCTTGGGGGTAGGAAGGGCACTGTAGGGTCTGGCCCCTTCACACCAGGTTCCCCGAAAGTGGTGCTGGGCTGAGCCCCCACCCAGGGGGACCCATGACAACCCCTTACTAGGGGCTCTTCCCTCTGCCAAGGGGCACCCCGAGGGGAGGCCTGGGTGCTCTCCCCTGCGGCCGAGACCTAGAGCCGGGGGAGGGAGGGGGAGGACGGGAGGAGAGGAGGGCGTGGTTTTTTGCAGCTCCTCACTCCTCTCCTCCCGTCTTCTTCTTCCTCCTCCCATTCCTACCTGTCTGAGTCTCCGGGCTGGGGGCCGCCGGCCCCTGCTCGGTCCAGGGGGGCACTTGTGTCCCAGCCTGGCCTTCAGGACAGGACCCCATGGCCCCGGAACATGGGTGCTGGACCCCTCGCCGGGCGGCCCCTGTGCCCCCTTTGCACACCTCTCTGGGCCTGGGGACTCCAAGGCCCTGCCTGTTTGCAGCCCCCAGGAGGGTGCCCCCAGGCCAGATGGCTGGTCCTGGACTGGGCCCCCCACTTCCCCTGAGGCTTTTTCTGGGGCCCCCTGCACGCCTCGCCTTGTGTGGCGTGTGGTGCTGACCAGCCCCCCCCATGGGACTTGCAGGCAGGCCAGCCGGCCGGGCCAGCCGCCGCAGCCGGGGCATCCGCGGCATCGTGGAAGAGTGCTGTTTCCGCAGCTGCGACCTGGCGCTCCTGGAGACTTACTGTGCCACCCCCGCCAAGTCCGAGAGGGACGTGTCGGCCCTTCCGACCGTGCTTCCGGTAAGACATCGCCGCTCCATGGCAGGCTGGTTAGGGGCTGGAGCCAGGGAGCTGGCATCCCGTGACTGGCCCTGCCCCCTGCCCCCCAGGACAACTTCCCCAGATACCCCGTGGGCAAGTTTTTCCACTACGGCGCCTGGATGCAGTCCGCCCAACGCCTGCGCAGGGGCCTGCCTGCCCTCCTGCGTGTCCGCCGGGGTCGAGTGCTGGCCAGGGAGCTGGAAGCCCTCAGAGAGGCCAAGCGTCACCGGCCCCTGATTGCCCTGGCCACCCACGACCCAGCTGCCCGCGGGGGTGCCTCTCCAGAGGTGTCCAGCAATTAGAAGTGAGCCAAACGGTCGTGATTCTGCGAAATAGCCCCGCGCTCCTCCTGCTGTCCTCTCCACCGGCGGCCTCACCATCCGGCCCTCCGAAAGTCTCTCTGCGTCACCTGCCCCAGCGCGCTCCCTGCCCCGCCCCTGTGCCCCAGCCTCCCCAAGTCAGGCTGCTCTGCTCGGCCCTTCCATCGGCCGACGGTCGCGTCCCAACAGCTTCCAAAACGTACAAAACCAATTGGCTTTAAATACCCCCAAATTAGTACCCCCAAATGTCTGCCAAATTACCCCCCCAAATTACCCCCAAAACATCCCCCCAAATTATCCCCCAAAACATCCCCCCAAAACATCCCCCCAAATCACCCCCAAAAAACATCCCCCCAAATTACACAACAAAATTGGAAAACAAACCCCTCTCTCTCACACACATACCAGCCCCTTAAAATCAATTGGCTCCTTAAAAACACCAAAAAACCAAATTAGCCTAAAAAAAAAAAAAAAACCCTAAAAACAAAATTGGCTGAAAATACACTAAAAAACAAATTGGCTTAAAAACAATTGGCAAAATAAAATAATTCGGCGCCCCCCCCTCCCCTCCTTCTCTTCCCCTTGGACTCGGTCACATTGGCCACGCCTCGAACTCCTGACCGTCCAAGAGAAAGGAGGGGACCCCAAATTCTCCGCTAGGCATGTCATTGCTCAGCCGCCTCCCTGCTCATGCAAAACTCTGCACTGGCCTCGAACACCAGCGGTCACCCAGCCTCGCGCCGCCCGGGCCCCACCAGCCAGAGTCACCATGAGGGGACACGGAACATGAAAACCAAAATTGGCAAGACAAAACCTAATTGGCACGAACCCCACACCAAATTCTTACAGATCCATCCCCACCCAAAAGCAAACAAATACACACATCCCCACAGAAACACAGCCTCACACGCACACACCACACACACACACCACACACACCACACACACACCACACACACACCACACACACACATACACCACACACCACACACACACCACACACACACATACACCCACATACACCCACACACCACACATACACCCACACACCACACACACATTCACATACATACCCATGTACACCTGCACACACCACACACACAACCACACATTCACATACATACCCATGTACACCTGCACACACCACACACACTCACATGCACACCCATGTACACCTGCATACACCACACACACTCACATGCACACCCATGTACACCTGCACACACCACACACACTCACATGCACACCCATGTACACCTGCATACACCACACACACTCACATGCATACCCATGTACACCTGCACACACCACACACACATACACCCCACACATGCATACCCATGTACACCTGCACACACCACACACACTCACATGCATACCCATGTACACCTGCACACACACACACAGCATGCACTCACACGCATACACTGGCATAGCACACACCCTCACGCACGTGCAGGACAGTGAAAACGATGAGAGTGGCCACTGTGCCCATCAGTCCGCTTCACCCCAAATTCTCTCCACGAGGTTTTCATGTTCCCAGCCCCCCTCCCGTCCCCTGCCACGCACCCTTGGTGGGGAGGGGTGCGTCCCAGGCCTGGCCTGGCGCTTCCGTCTCTGAGATGAGGGAGGCCCCTTCCTCCTCCGCGTCGTGTCCACGGCTTCCGCGGCGTGAGCCTGGTGTCCCCAGACCCGCCCCGCCCCCGGCACGCCTCGCCACCGTGCGTGCCAGCGAGGACAGGGTATGGCCAGCCTGGAGGTGCTGTTGCTAAGTAAGACATGCCCCCACTGTAGCCTGACCCCCGGGTGTGCCCCCGTGAGAGATCTCGGGCCCCGCGCCCGGCACACCTGGGACCATCTCTGCCGGCCTCCTGGGCAACCCCCCAGCAATGGGGGGCCCCAGGAGGCCGGCAGAGATGACGGGGAGTGTGGGAAGTATGGCGGTCGGTGGGGTGGGTGGGGGGCAGTGGGGGTTGGGTGGGGGGTGCTCTAGGGTAGGAAGTGGCCCAGTCAGGTTTCGGCCCAAAGTCAGAAGAGTGTCGGAGACTCGCAGAGTCACGGACACGGATCAGAGACCCAAATTCACGCCAATTGATCTGTCTCCCCCCTTTAATTCCATTCTCCTGGGGCTTGTTTCCTTTTTTTTTTTTTTTTACCCCTCCTTGGCTTCTCGCGCTCATGTACCCATGTAACCTCCCACCCTGTAACAGGGGAGCAGCGACCCAAGTGAAAACGCGCCAAGTGACCGTCCACCACCATCAGCACGTCCTGCTCCCCGCCATTTATCTCCCTGCGTTTGTTCAGTCTGTCCCTGTCGCTTGGGTTGAATTGAGAGTGGAGCCTCCCTGGGGTGCTCGCCACGGCACCCCTTGGAGAAGAAGTAGGGGAACAGAGACGGGCCGCTGCCCGGCCTGGCCTCCGGGGACAGTGGCTGGTCTCCGGAGGTCCTGGGGGGCGGAGGAGGGGTGGGGCGGCGACTCCCCAGGTGTCAGGAAGGTGCTCGGTGGCCATCAGAAGGGGCCCCCGGCCGGCCAGGAGCTGCCGGGGGGGAAGGGGCACGGACGTGTGACGACAGGGCTCCATCGGGCTGGAGCAGGTGGCCGCCTTCCGCACACTTGGGGAGCTCTCCCCTCACCCCTCGGTGACACCATACCCGCCTCCCCAGCGCCCGGTCCTGTCCCAGGAGGCTGGGGCTCTGCAAGGCCTCCTGGGAGCCAGGCCGGGTGAGGCCGGGCAGGAGGGGGGGTCAGAACGGAGCCCCGCAGAGCAGAGAGCCGTGGGGTTGACCCATCGACCCCGGGGTTGCTTGGGCCCCAAGGCCCACGGGTCTGGTACCGACCCAGCCACCCTCATGTCGGTGCCTAGGGATGCCCCGGGGATCCGGGCGGCTGGGAGGCCTACCTCCCCCCACTTCTGCCCCCAGCGCAGCCCCCCCCCGCAGGCACCCCGACTAGCAGTCTAGAGGCCCGAGGCTTCGGGGCCCTGGCAACAGGGCTGGCGTGACCCCGGGGGCGGTCCATGCCAGCCTGCCCTTGGCACAGAGGGCCCCTCGGCACACGCCCGGGGAACGGGCCATTCGGACCATTGGAAAGAAACCCAAAGAGCCAAATTGTCCTGATTGGAGAACCCAGATTGGCCAGCGACCCAAAAAGACTTAGAGGCACCCCAAATTGCCCGCCCGTTCTGCCGGACACCCATCCCCCCAGTGTTACTCGCGCCTCTCGGGGATGGGCGCGCCGGGGGCGTCTGCCGAGGCGGCCCCTCTGTGTCCCCCAGCGTGCGGCTCTCGCGGGTCCTTGCCACCGACCCGGGCTCCCCCCGACCTCCCGTGCCCCTGTTTGTGGCCCTCCATCTTGTCTCTTCCCCGAGTCCCCCCCCCCAACAGTCTTCAGCGGGACCCCCTCTTGGGTCCCTCCCTGCGCCATCACCTGAAGACCCCCCACGCGCAGAACACACCGAGTCACCTGCCGCTGCCAGCCCACCGTCCAGCGGCCGTGTTCGCCTCAACTCAACTCCTCTAACATGCTGTCTCCAGCAAAACTCACTGCCTGGGTTTTGCCTTTAACCTTAAACGCTCGCAATCCCAATAAAGTTCTGAAATGCATTTTGTTCTGAGTGCTCTGCTCTTTCACTGGGGTTTTGGGGGAGAGTGCGGGGGAGACTGGGAGACGTGGACACCGGCCCTGCCCCCCCGAGGCTCCCAGAGAAGTTGGAACTCGCCACGGCCTGTGCCTCTCAGGCCACACTCGGGCCAGGGGCTCTGGGTCAGTTGCAGGCACCAAATGCTCGAGAGGTGCCGGGGGGCGGGGGGCTGTGGGCAGCTCTCCCAGAAGCCCACTGGTGAGGAACAAGGTGCCCCAGCTGCAGGGGACCCTCGGGCCGGGGGCAACAGGGGCTGGCTGGGTTCAAAGGGCGCTGGAAACCATGGCTGTTGCTGGAAATGGCAACTCAGAGCTGTGCACGTCTGGGGGCCCACCTGCCGGTAGACACACTTACCCTCCACTGGAGACTCAGGCCGAAGAGGGGGTCGCAGGAAAGCCTCTCCCCTGCTCATCCAGTACTAACCACTCTGTCCTCTGACCCATAGGGTCCCCACTCGGTGAGACCGGCCTGGCGCCTTCAGCCACGCCACCCCAGCCCACAGTTAGCAGATGCGCCCACCTTGGGGAGAGGGGCCTCTGGGTTGGGGGCTGAGGAAGTGGGGGCTGGGAGCCCTGCAGCACCTGGTGGGCTGTTTTCAGGCCTGTCCTGGGGGCCCTGGAGTGGCATCCTCGGGCCAGGCAGCTGCTCAAGCTTCTCTGGGAATTCATCTGAGTGGAGGGTCCGCCTGGAGGGGTGCATCGCCTTAGACCCTGGGGGGCTGGGAGGGTGGAAAAGAGAGAGCTGAGGGGCTGGACAGGCGAGGCCAGGGGTCTGGGGCTGGCAGAGGGCCGGGCTGGGGCAGGGGGACTCTCAGAGACACTCTGGGGGTGGGGGTGAGGGTGCAGCTCGGGGCCCCTGCTCACCCCTCAGACCAGAGCCCCCTGAAGGACCTGTCTCCTCCCAGAACCCTCCGGCGCTGGGCTCAGAGCCTCCCTCCCAGCTCTGTGCAGACCACACCACCTCCACCACCCTGGCCCAGGCCCCCTCCGCCGCGGCCTCCCCTTTCAGCCAACTTGCCCTCTCCGCAGCCCACCCCAGCTGCACCCTGCCTTCCCCAAGACCCCCACGACCTCCACGACTGCCCTCCCCCAGCTCTCCTGCGCTACCCTGGACGCCCCCACCGCACTCTGCTTGGCCCAGCCACAGCCCCGTTATTTTGGAACTGCCTGGTGCCCCTCTCTACCCTTCCCTCCTGCTCCACAAACTCCCAGCTCGCCCACGGGGCTCCATCCATCCACCCCCACTTGACCCACTCAGGGGTGCCCAGGCCCAGCGTCATGGGGAAATGTCGGGGTGCTCTTTGGAGAGGGATGGGACTCAGGCAGTGACGTCGGCATGCAGGCCTGGGGAGACCGGGGCAGGGGCTGCAGCTGCAAGGAGGGGCCCGCGTGGAGGCGAGGTCGGAGCCATCAGGGGCACCCACGGTGGTATGTGGGAGGGGGCCCCTGGAAGACAGGAGCCGCCTGTCCTGGCCCCCGGGATGTTTGCGCGTGGATTCACTCTCAAGAAGGGTCTTTGCAGACTGGATCAGACACGATCAGGCGAAGGATCGTGAGATGTCGTCCTGGATTTGGGGGGAGGGGGTCTGAACCCGATGACGTGTCCCCATAAGAGGAGAGTGGGACGCAGAGGCAGAGACCGGAGGGGCACAGCCGCAAGCCCAGGAATGACGCCTGGAGCCCCAGAAGCTGGCGGGGGCGTGGGGGGCAGGCAGGAGCCCCAGCCCTGGAGCCTCCGGAGGGAGCGAGCCCGGCGTACCTGGTGCTCAGGCTCACGGCCTGTGGCGTGGGGAGAGAGGGTGCATTTCTGCTCTTTTTAAGCTGCCCCGTTAGTGGTCACTCGGAAAACAAACCACAGC